AATCTGCTGGGTGATGTGTATCAAATTCTGTTCCAACCAAATGGAACCATATCTAAGGAATACTACGTCCATTGATGCAATTGCGCTAAAAAATTAGCGTAGTGTATGTAAAGTGATGAAAACTTAAGTTTTTAATATGAAGGAATTCGGCTCCTTACAGCAAAATTTGTTCAGAAAATTTTTGCAGTTCTAGCCCGGAAGGTCATAGCCTCGCTGCTATTATAAACAGACACTACTTCCCCCGACTAACACTAGTTTCAATAGATTGCGGATTATTACCAAATATGGGTTCTCTTAGGATTAGTCCTAAACACAGGATTTTTTCGAGATGGAATTCGAAAAGTGTCTAAAAGATAAAAGAAAAAGAAAAGTAATAGCTAACGATGAACAATGTTTTGAATACAATTAATTCTACCAATTTCTTTGAATAAAGATTCAAAGTTACAAAAAAAAACCTCAAAACTTATTTGTAAACAAAATAAAATTTAAATCCATGAAGGGAGGAAACCTAAGGGTCTTTTTGATAATTTTGTTGGCTTGGAAAGCAAGGCAAAAGCAAGGCAAAAGCGTAATAATATTTGAGAAAGTTATTAAGAATAAGTTTAAGTATTAAAAAAAAAATAGCAATTGTTGAAAAATATTAAAAAGTGGCAACAACGAATCCATTCCGATGAAGCATCTTTAACTTAAGCGGGTCCAAGGGAAGAAAACCGAACCTAACTGTCTATCGCTAGACAAATATGTAGGATATGTTAAAAATATCAATGCTTGTGTAATTGGCGAGTATTTGATTGAGAATGTTAAATTTTCTGACAAAGAGAAAAGCGTTCTTTTAATAATAAAGATATTGAAACTAATTTATTACAAATATTTTACGTGTTTCTCTTTAGAAGATCAAATTCAGATGAAAAAAATTAAAATTGTAGGAGTTATGCTGCATACCGTTTCTTGGCAAATCATGTATCGCGAAGAACACCTGTATGATAGGTGTTATAGACATGTTTTTTTATTATTATAATTTTTTTCACTTTTTCCCATATTTATTTTAGCCATGCTCAATTATTCTTCCTCTTATTGTTTCGTCGAAGATTATGTACTCGAAGGTATCTCCTGTGCTGCATCTCTCGAGGACAGAATCACACGTTTTACACTATCTGTTGTGAAATGGCAGAATCACTCTCGGCCTCATATCTTCTCAACGATTACGTTTATGAAGCTAATTTAACAAATTTTTAAGTGGAAATGTCTTTAATTGAATATAAACACATAGCAAAATTAACGTATTGAAAAAATTAGAAATCAACGTGCAGTTTTTTTTTCACGTAGGCACTGTTTTCGGAGAACTTGTGGAAAAGCTTGAAATATCAAAAAAAATTTCTCGTCAGGTGTTGAGTTTTTATCTCTATATTTTACAAAGTTCTAAGGGTCTCTTACGCGATTAAAAAAAAAAACTTTACCGTGACCCCCGTCCTTGAGTGAAGTATTTTAAACTAATGTGTACATATATTAATACGCGATAAATATTTGCATTATTTATATAAAAGCTTAGGTATATGTGCATGTTTCGCATGTAGAATCTGATTACTAATAAAATTATTCCCCGAAAAATATTTTATGAATTGGCTTAAGAGATAAACTGCACATTCACAATAATAATAAGTCTATAATATTTTCATTAATACTTTGGGCGTTGTCGGGCGCTTGTTTTCGAAGGAGCATAATTCTGCCCTATCTTATTTTTCACCACCATAAAAGCTAATATTCTCCAACTCATTTGATATGAATTTTGTCTAATTTTTTTTATTTCTGAATGAATGAGACTTTTAAAAAACGAAATTAAATTATGAAGAACGTTAATACATTCTGAAACAGCCCATTAATTTCAATTATTATCTTTTTCAAGTTTGAATCTTCTCTAATATAGAAAATGGTATAAAGGTATTAACCAAATTTTGACATTGCAAATATACTCAAATCGTAATGCTTTTACTCATCCCCTCCCCCCATTCAACTAGTTTAAATAGCTGTAGAAGTGCGTAGGCGTCTTTTACAAATTTTGATTCTCGTGTAATGGGCAAGTATTTGATTGAAGAAGCTCCATTTTACACCAAAATAAGGCATCTTTTCTTTAATCTAACTCTATTAAGCCATATACACGTATTTTGGTTTAGAAGTGCTTTTGCATGGACATATAAACAATTTAACGACATCTGTTACCGGATTAAAAAAGTTAGGAGTCAACAAGCAAAATATTGGCCTGTAACTAACACCAGAATGCCTTTTTGTACTTTTACTCCACACGTTTCAGCAGATTCAAAGCATTTATAAAAAGAAAGTCTAGAAATATCATAGCGGTTTGTGTCCTGAATTGTTTCTCGCAATGGATTTGCTTATGCACCGCAGTTTTTGTTTATGAAAGTCCTATAAGTATCCGCGTATAAAATGTCAGAACTAATATATTTTTCTATGTATGTTGTTATTGTTCAATAAATAGTTCAGGTATTTGATGCGAAATATATTATCTTCTGGTTAAGCAATTTTAGTAATTTAGAGCGCCAGTTGCAATTAGCACGTTTAATTTTAAACGTATTCGCAGTTAGTGCTTACACAGTCATATATAATTGGAATATATATAATATTTTTGTAATATATGTAAATGTATGTACATAATTAAAAATTTACTTAGGTCTTATTTTATTAGCACGAAATAATATTTCGTATAACAAGACCTAGATGTATTATACATTCATTTTGTGAGTCTTAATCATTTCCAACTAACTTACTGTTTACCAATTGTTGAGGTTTTTGCAGTGACGATGAGTGCGTTTAGTTTGTGCAAAAAGCCGCGCGTAAATTAACACCCGTTGCTGGCATTAATCGTCTTCTCATAGAGTTGTATACATAAGTACACTACCACATCCTCTATATGCATCGTAAAACTCCATATTGTTGGTAAAGCAAAGAGAAAATATGCTTGAATGTGTGCAATCTGGACGAGTATGTGTACCTAGCACAGAATAAGGATGAACACAATGCACGACATGTCTCGCGCCTTTTGGTTGGTCAAAGAATCTAAATCATCACACCATTTTGTGTGCATGGTAAACGACGCTGGCATCCTTCTCAACGCTTGCTGTTCATAGTGTTTACTTTTGTTTTCTTGGCTGGCTGACTTCACTTGTTTAGCTTTTGTGTAGTCAACACTTTATTTAGAATCATATATACTGTATGTGTGCAATGGGGTGTCTGTATACCTACAAGTACAAAGTTATATTTGTATGTACAAATCCAGTAATACACAGAGAGAACATTTTGTTCTCGCATTCATCTCTTTCACTCTAACGCCTTAAGGCCAGTCATCGTGCAATACATTGACGTTGATATTTGAATACTTTGAATTCTGAAAAAGCAGAGAGAAATTGCTGTTCCAATATTGTTAATATTGCCATTTGAGTGAGTGTGAATTCGCATAAACTATGTCGCACAATCGATTGTATGCGCTTCCATTTGCGGTTAAACATGTCACACAAATTCACTCTCCTATTAGCTTTTTGCTTTTTCGTATTAGATTCGGTCAACTGTGTGTGGCTATGTTTCTCACACATTTAGCAATCTAGAAAACAGAGCCAGACACGACGAACGTTTTTAGCTTTGCATTTATATACATGGTAAGTTGCGCACATATGAAGGTTTCTTCTTATTTTTTTTCTTCGTAGATGGTATTACATTAAAAGTTTCGTCTTGTTCTTTTTCTCTTATAAAATGTCGCATAAGGCCGTCTCTACTAACAATGAGTGACAAATTGGTTCGGCTTGCTGTTATTTGTCGCCTATTCAGTCACACTTGCGTATCTCTTGATAGTACCAACTTGGGAAGCTTGAGCTGAACAAGAACGAGTTTGTCATTACTCGACTGATTCCACCTTTTCATCATTGAACTTACATATATGAACATATACAGGTACATTCAAATAAACGTACGCACCTACGTACGTACGTATACACAGCAATTTTTATACAACAGACGTACAAATACACACGTATACATATATATGTATACATAATAAATATATATATAGATAGGGAATAAATATACCTACACATAATATATGCGCCATATTAGTGGGTTGACGGATAATCCCTAGTTGTGTCTACTAGGCAAAGCCTTTTGATAAACGAATACTGTCGCGTTTCTTTGGCAGCGAATTGTTTTTGTCGTAGTCTTATATTTAGTTTGTATATGTTGCATTTATATATAAGGTGGTCTCTTTCGCTCAAACTAGCGGCTACTTAAAGTGCAAATGTTTCTTGTCAATTTACGTGTGAGAATTTGTCACCATAGCAAAACACACTTGGAAAAAACCTAGTAACCGAAGCAGCTTTTTACCTACTGTCGCATAGTACTGATTCCATTACCTTTCTGCATGTAGTTGCTGTATTGGTGTGTATGTATTTTAAGAGGTGGTGGTAGCAGTTTGTGAATTTCCTGTCACCTTAATGGCGATGTAAGTCTATCTCTTTTCACACCATATCAGACGGCCTGATTGCAATTGTCTGTTCCATTCTTTAAAAGTGAGGAGGGAGGGTTTTCTCTCTAATTCAAGTCGGTAAATATTTGCTTTAATTTTTTTTATGGTTTTTGCTCTGGTGTTTGGTGTCACCAAACATGATATAAAGAAAACTAATTCATTGGATATCACTCTCACTTTACTCAATTCCCACTCACACATACTAAATTTCTCTCCAAAACGGTTGATTGTGTGAGTGTTGAAATTCCAATTGGAAGTAAACTAAACCGGTTTCTATTACTGCTTCTCTTATTTATCAAGAAGTGAGCATGTGTGATTTATATATACACAGTAACGTTTATGTATGCAAACTCGTTCGTCGCACCTCCGGGGGTTGCACGGCTCTAAAGTGTATATGTATTTCCAGTTTACAAACGACCGGCATTAAGTTCGTTTCGTTAACGTTGTTTGTATTTTGTGTGTTCCTTTTAAGAAATCTTACATTAACGGCGCTGGTAATGGCTCTTAATAGAAGATATTCATTCTAAACCCTTGATTGAGCTGTCTAAATTCAATTGAAGTGCTATGAGAAATCAAAAAAAAATGACGTGCATGTATACGTACGTACGCGAACGGCAAATGTGGTCATCCGTTGCACAAATAAATTTAAAAGATGTAGTATGAAAGTTGTTGACTTTGTAAAAAATTAGACATAAAGAAGACTACGAGAAGTATAAATTTACCAAAAACATAAAATACCAATGCAGAAACATAGTTACACGTAAAAATAAAGATAATAATCGGTGCTAATATCTGCGAAACACAGTGTGTGCAATTAATATAAAAGAAAACTTTTATATAATGAAAAAGTTCTAAAAACTGTAGTCATTACAATCATATTTCGTGCGCTAAAGTTCGTAAAACTTGACTCATTTTAGAAGGCTACATTGAATTTATGTTTTAGTAATTTCGCAAGCCATACAATTGTAATGTAATGAGATACGACGTTCAAGAGTTGCTTTATCAGTCTGCTGAGGATCCATTCATAAGGTTCGCAAATGGGATGGCATATCATCCATTTCTGCAACTATCCCGACCCACTGACTTCAGCGTGTCTTCGCTGTTGACGGCGGGAAATCAATCAACGTCATCTGGTGGCGACACCAGCGATGCCACATTGACTGCAGCTTCATCTCCAGAACATCAATTACACCAGTCAACACCTGTTGCAAATCATCAGCAATTAGTTCAACAACTGAACAGTCCCGGCGGTCAATCTTCGCCTATTAGTGGTCAACAGGCATCACATTTGTCACCTAGAAAAAAAAATAGCAGCAACGAATCTGGTTGTTCGGGCGGAAAGACAACTAGCTCAAATATAAATACTGATAGCGATACAAACAGTGCCAATAACAACAGCAACTTACCGACGGCACCTGTGGCTGCTGCACATCCAGTAGCATCTGCAATTGCTGCTCATTCTTTACCTCATCCCACGTCACATACACAACATCCAACGCATCCTCATCATTCACCTGTGCCTGGTCATCCAGCCCTTGGACCTCATTTACCACAACAGTCTCCATATTTTCCAGCTGCTGCACTTGCAGCTTTAGCTGGCAGTCCAGCTGGTCCCCATTCTGGCCTCTATCCAGGAACATTAAGGTTTCCATCCCATCATCCTCACGCTCATCACGCATTAGGAACTCCTTATACAACCGCAGAAGACGTTGTACTGGCATCTGCTGTGGCACATCAGCTACATCCTGCCATGCGTCCTTTGCGAGCTCTACAACCAGAGGACGATGGGGTCGTCGATGATCCAAAAGTAACACTGGAAGGCAAGGAACTGTGGGAGAAATTTCATAAGCTTGGCACAGAGATGGTGATTACTAAAAGCGGACGGTAAGTCAAATGTATTAAGACTGTAATTGTACGGCCATACCGACGGCAAATTTTATTAAAGTGATGCTAAAAATATTGAACTTCTTTGAGTAAACAGAAAGAAAATCAAGACATACATGGATCTTTCGTTTTTTAACTCAATGTTGTGATATTAAAGAATTTAGATAAGCAATCGAAAAAATATTAAATTGCATAAATGAATGGATTATTCTGCATGCATACATAATATTATTTACTTTTTATTATTTCTATAAACGTTTAAATACATCAAATATTTCCATTCATGAAACCGAAATCAAAGAACTGAAAAAGTACAAAAAAATTAAGTTGCTAATATTGTACTATTGAAAATAAGGTTACCGCAGAAATTGGGTGCAATGAAAGGTTTGAACTCTTTTTGATTAGTCTCGTCAAGTTGTACATAAATCCATTAAATGGAAACATAGTTCTTAGTGTTTTTATATAATAAGTACAGCATATGTGTCACTCCTTGAATATTAAAATGAGTACTAGTAGTACTAGTAGTAGAATCTAGTACTAATCCGTCATATCAAGATTCATTCAATTTGCATCTTTTTATGACATTCTCATTTTCGCAAAAGTTACTTTGTCTTTGACTTATAACGCTTTTATAAAATTGGTTTGTACAAATTAGCTGAGAGTATTAAGTCCGAAGTTCAATTTTCTATCATCTTTATTTCGATTTTGAACATTTTAACAGAAATATAGATAGGGACAGAGACATAGTCAAGTTTGCTAATAAACGATGTTGTAAAACATATCGAATTTCTATTCTTGGACGTTATAACTATAGTAAAACCCAAATCTGCGAATATTAGTATTAATATATGTCATCATTCTGTGGGGGGTTCATATAACAAATTGTCTCTGTAAGTACTTTTCAGGTAGACCTATGTCTTCAAACTAATCGCAGAACATTAAACCCTGTATAGTTTCGATGGCTAAGCTGAATTAAATTATGATTTAAACATTTAGACTATTTTCTGTTTTGGCGTCTACGCCCTCGCGATTGTTAAGAAAAGGGATTTTAAGAATATATTCCTTTAAAAACAAAAACTATAAAAAAAAAACTCCTCTTTATTCGCATTTCAAATAACAAAAAATTGTTCTTTTTATTACAATAATGTCAACTTTTGAGCTGCAAATTAATAGTTTTCTGATAAGGTTTTTAATTTCAATTGCTTGACTGCTGTGCTAGTCAAAGATCTTTTGAATTCTAAATTTAAAATATAAATTTTCCCATTAGTTACAGCTTTTTTTAATTAGTAAGTTGCAATGCCTCGCAACAGATCATTACAATAACATAACCTCACTACGAACGAAGACGTTCTGTGAAAAATGTGTTTTCATCGATGCAATTGTCATACTGCAGCAGGAGTTCCCAAAGTAGTCGATTGTTCCGGGGAAATTGGATTGCAGATTATAAAGCATGTCAACATTATGAGAGATAATGTTCGACAGATCGTACCTAGGAAAAAAGTTATTCTGACTCGAAATGATTGCCCTCGTTTAGAAAAAATGTGTTTTACATTGATCTTCCTATGAACTTGTTGGGTCAGAAAACGTGACGTTTGTTAAACAAACGCATAAACCGCCTGAGCTTTGCCCATTGAGAGTTATATTTTTAGCTCTTTTCCTTCGACAACCGCACTTCTTTTCTTTATACTTCTTTCAAAGTAGAGAGTGGTCGAAGCACATACACTCATTTCCACATTCGAATTTAAATTGAAATCGAATTTAAATTGGTCGAAAAAATGGTCAGATCCAAACCATTCTCATTTATGTTCGTCCTTAGGCCAAAACTTGCGAAATTAAATTTCATCAAAATATCTCAAAAATTGAAACCTGTAGGTTGAACACAAAAACACAAGACGGTCAGACGCGTATCAATCATTATAAGAAAAGGTGAATTTATCTTAAGTTCTTCTTTTGCACAAACTTAATATACATTGAACCAAAAATAGTGTGGGATATAAAAATTCAGGGGAAATTCTAATTCTTTGTCATTTTTGTGATATACATATATTAGCGATTTGATGAAACAAGAGATAAATCAAGGTATATTACTAACTATAGATATGGAAAATGCAATCTGAACCTAATTTTCCAAATACCGACTTATGTTTCAAACAAACTCGAAAAAACCCAAAATTTGACATTAAGTTTACACTACTAAGAAATTTAAACATGCTCAGGCCTTTATTAATCGCACTGTAATTTGTAAAAAGTATCATCTATGCCCAAAACATTACTTGGCAGTTACATGGGGTACGTTTACATGCCAATAAATGAAATTATCCCTGAATATTTAATAATGCGCCGTAGTTGCAATATTTTCACGACCGCAAGGAAAAGTAGAAATGGGTAAAACCGACTTAGCTATACTAATTGTTAATGTGTCGTCGTTTGAACATTGTTATATTTTCTTAGACATTTTCTCATAGAATTTAGTAAGCAATTACCTCTTTTTAAATTGTATGAGAAACAATTTATAATTTTGCTTAATATTTTCCAAAAATCAAGTTTTAGAGCTAATAAATAATTTAGCAGTAGTCAATTACAGTGTGATAAAATCTTATACTTCATGGTTTGTGTAATTCCAATATGTTAAAGAATAAAATTACATTCACGAAAATAGGTGTATAGCATATGTGCGCACTTTAGATTACAGCAACACAAATAGAATCCTTTATATAGTGTATATTCTGCCGCACTCTGTGATAAAGTTTCAGCACTGCAACATTAAAATCCCATTGTCGTAAAACCATAATCCTCCTGGTGCTGGAAATCAACCAAATGGTGCTTCAAACTCAATTAATTACTGGTAATGAAATTTCATGCACATACTTTGGGCTTACTTTTAATTGAATTAGATATTCTGTAGATGTGAATAATTGGAGATGACGCAGCTCCTTTTGCTAAAATGAAACCCAGAGATTTTTTGAGAATTTTCTGCAGACAAAATTCGAAATCAGCCATAACATACGTGCAAAGGTTGATCAAGCAGAATACGACAATAAAAAGATCTATTGACAGATCTGCTATAACTATGGTGAACTAAACGAAACAAAAAAGAATAAACATAGTCTGAACGGATTGTACACACATGCTTTATATATGCGGATATTTGTAAAACAAAAAATTCATAAACATACATGTGTACTTATGCATTTATGCGTTCATATTTACCAGAAAACAAAACCAAAATCAAACTGCCAACAAAAAAGCGAAGCGTCTCTCTGGCGCCATCGGAAATATCAGAGATTTTTGATTGTCCAGTTTTTTAAAACGTCAAACTACTACGACCGCAGCAAAGGAAAAGCAGCAAAGATACCACCACCATCAAATTCATTTTCAAGAAGAATTGGCAATAAGGTAAACCCTAATCGGCACATAAACATTTACACATGTGTAGTAGTCCTCGAATAATGCTCTTCATCAACATCGTAACAAGTAGAAGAGAGATGATAGTAGAAAGAACAATCGAAAACAAATAAAGCTAAAGCTGGTCAAAGTGTCGCGCGTACAAAACTGTACGCCGTCGTTTGCGCGTTTATGATGCATTTATGAGATAACAGCTTGTACGGAAACTTTTGATTTTTTAGCGCAATCAGCAAGAGTTGTCATAAAAATGAGGAACAATAATAAGAACATCGGCCAAATAAAAGTGAAAAAGAATTAAAATAAAATTCGTATATGTGTATTTAGTTATATAAATTGATATATATTTCTATATACATTAAGATATATCTTTGTATGTATTTCTATATATATAAATGTATATATTTTTTTATACGTACATAAACATATAAATATATCAAGCGAAATGGTCCCCATAAGCCATGGAATCGGAAAGCGAAAGATGTCACAACTAATGAAAGCGGTTCAATGAGCTTGATAAACATTTCCTAGATTCTCATTGACACATCAAAGTTGCCGACTGCGGCTGCGCCAGACACTACGCAAATGTATATACGTATATGACTGTGTGCATCGAATAAGAATAACATACAATTGAATCGAAACGTATGTTGCACATGTATAAGGATTTGCTATACCGGTTTTTAAACGGATTAGTTAAAGTGAAGCCGATATAGACGCTTAGTTGGCTTGATTTGGTGAAAAATTAATATTTTTGGGTTGTTGTCACCGATTTTTGTCTCGTGGCATTTTCACGCTTTGTTCAAATTAAAAAACATTTAAATTAAATTGGTTCCACCTAATAGTTGATAAATTTGAAGATTAGTTTTAGGATATGTTACCACCTTATTAACGATGATTAAACTGATGGTTGCGGGGGGGGGCAATGTGTTCGAATTGCAATGAATGTAAACGTACGTAAATCTATTCTTTCTTTTCTCATATAATATCCTACTCTTACAGTCCACAAATCTTTTATTATTATTTATAGATCTTTTGTAGTCCCAAATGAGGAACGGAAAGTATACTAAAATTGGTGTTTCGATTGTCATACCCAAAGATATTTAAAACATTAAAAATGTGACTATAGGCGTATTTACCGCCCTAAGATTTTGATTTGATGTAGCTTCGTCCTTTTGTTCGTTCATCTATCCTACTAATATACTCATACCTTAAACTTTACTTCGTTAAATACTGAGGATTCATTGTGGTGCACATTTAACTTTCATACATATTTAACCGGTAATGAAATATTTAGCAAAGTATCTATTTGAAAACAAATTAAGGATTATTTTATTTGATCGATTCCGACATCGACTTAAAATGGTATTTTGTAATAGCTGTCTTCTTTCTTGCTCTCTGTTTTAAAAGTTTCTCTTGTACATAATATCATAGTCGTGTATACCGATTTTTCTAGCACCACATTAAGTATTAATATTATAATTATATTCTGATATATTTCATATAAAACTGCGATATATCTTTAAAGCCAATTTAGATAAATGTTCTCAATACCGTAAATAAATGGACTGATATGTAAAGACTCAAATATGTATAGGTAAA